TGGGCCTGGAGTCAAGAAGACCTGAATTCATATCTAGCCTCAGACACTAGCTGTATAGCCCTGGGCAAGGCACTTAACCCTTTGTCATCCTCAGTTTCCTCATCTGTAAAACAGGACAATAATGGCACCTTCTTCCTAGGGTTGTTGTGAGGATCAAATGAGATAATATTTGTAAAGTGTTTTGCAGGCCTTAAAGCACTATACTAATCATTATTATTTTCTAGTCTATTGGTTCTCAAAATGTGGTCTAGGGACCCTTTCAGGGGTTTCTCAAGGTCAAAACTGTTTTCATAATAATACCATGGCATTTTAATTTCCTAATATGGTAAATATTGAAGGATATTACCATGGGTGTGCTGGAGCTAGTAAATATTGGCTCACAAGAGCCAATCGTTAAATTTTCGGTCTGAGTATTTATAATTTGGAAATCAGCAGACATTACAAATCAGGGCTTGATTTATTGTTTCATTGATTGTCCAGTTTAAGAAAGCGATGGGGAAAATGTTAATCCTTCAGATTAAACTTCAAAACACATTGTGCCTACATTTCCCCCCTGAAAAGCTGGCTGTTAAATATTTACCAGCACATCCCAGGATATAAACAAAAGCTTTTTGAGAGTCTTCAAATTTTTTTTTTATTGTAAAGGAATCCTGACACAAAAATGTTTGAGAAGTGCTGAGCTAGTCCAACCCCTTTTATTTTACAGTTGAGAAAACTATGGTCCAGAAGTGATTGCCCCAGGGTCACCCAGAATCTCAGTTGGGAGGGACCTCAGAGGGCAGCAAGTCCAACCCATAACTGAACATGAGTCCACTATGCAAAGTACCTGACAAATAGTTTTCCAGCCTCTGTTTGAAGACCTCTAGTAAGAAAGAATTTACTGAGCTGGGTAATTAGTGGCAAGGTATGGATTTGAACCCAAGTATTCTGACTCCAGACCCAAGGCTCTTATGTTTGTTTGACCACACCATACTAAGGGGTTAGGACAGCTAGGTGATGCGGTGGATAGAGCCAGGCCTGGCATCAGAAAGGCTCATCTTCCTGAGTGCAAATCCAGCCTCAGACACTTACTGGCTGTATGACTCTGGGCAAGTCACTTAACCCTGTTTGCCTCAGTTTCCTCATCTGTAAAATGAGCTGGAGAAGGAGATGGCAGACCACTCCAGTATCTTTGCCAAGAAAACCCCACATGGGTCACAAAGAGTTGGGCAAGACTGAACAACAACAACTAGGAAGTTGGTTGATGGCTCATTAGGAATCTCTGGTGTCAAGCCTAAGCTTTACTTACACTTATACTGCTGGAAATCTGACAGTTATAATCCAGCCACAGCACCATAATGCCATTTCTGGGGTGATGAGGATCTAGTGGTCAGTCAATGTCCCATGTTTCTGGACGTGTCCGAATGTGCCCTTTTCACGTGTCCCTGGCTCTCAATGAAGAAGCTATGGACTAAAGTAGTAGAGGAAATCACTCATCTATGTCTCCTTTAAAGGGAATTCTGGAGTCTCTTCCACAAGGAGTCATCCCTGGGAAATGAAAATCCAAGGACCCTTTTCTGTTCTCGGATGTTTCTAAAGATTCCAAAGATCCCTTGAACTTGAGTGGAGTAGAAAAGGGTAGAATGTTGTCACCCTGTGACATGGTCCAAGTCTGAGGATGCTGAGCCCTGATCCAAACACCACCCATCCTGTCAGAGTCATAACTAGGAATCCTGGCACCTGGGGGCAAAGGCAGCTAGGGTGGAGACCACCTCCCAGACAGTGGAGCCAGTTCCACTCACAGGGATTGGTGAGGAAATCAATTGCTGGGGAAGTGGGAATGTTCAGTCCCCTCCCCTTGACCTCCATTTCAAATGAGTCTGCTCCCTTGCTGTCCTGGGGCCCACCTCCATTCCTGCTGGGATGCAGAAAGGACAGTCTTCAGACCTCAGTGGGAAAGAAGTATGCCATTCTAAATACTGGCATCTGGGTAAAATCCCCTTTAGCCCTGCCCTATTTATGGTTCTACCTACTGGAGCTAAATTAGGTTCAACTCTATGTTTCATGTCTAACAGGCTCTGCCTTAGCATTTATTCTTGGGCTTGGGCTATTGTTGAAGAAAGCCAGGATACGGGGTAAGATTAACACAGGAGATACGCTGTACAGTTCAGTGTCCTTGCTCGTATCCAGCCTGCCGTTAATGGGCATGAAGAATGAAAACAGTGAGAACTGGTGGGAAATAGAATGTTTCCAATGACACTTTTCTTAATAAGATGTACATTCCTACCCATTTCCCAGACCAGTGGATCTAATCACAGAAAGTAGGGGTCAGATAACAGAGGTAATGAGTTTTTAATGAAGTACAAAGATGTGTACATACAGATATTCGGTTATCCCTTTAGGAAGTGTGACGAAATTTTGGGGATGGAAATGGAAGGATAGCTTGTCATTAACTGTTTGAAGATTGATCCATTACAGGTGGCCTTTGAAAAATTAAATGTCCCAGCCTTAGAGTCAAATAGGACGATTAAGGCAAGGAAGGAGCTTCGTGGACTGCGACCTCTGAGACTCTACCAGGAAGCAACAAGAAATGTTTTTCTCCCCTTCTCCAATGATAATGGTGTTACCCACCCCAGTAAGAGACACTGCCTCCAGTAGTGAGTGAGTGTATATGTGTGTGTGTGTGTGTGTGTGTGTGTGTGTGTGTGTGTACGTGCAAGTGTGTGTATGTATGTGTAAGAAAGACAGACAGAGACAGCTACAAAGGCAGGGAGCAGCTTCAAGGAACATGTCCTCTGGCAGCAGAGAAGAAGGACGATTAAGGATTCAAAAGAAAACTAGCTCTGGCAGGGAAAAAAAACAGAATCAAGGAGCACAGCTAAGCAGCCTACCTATATGGCTCAGTGGTTAGAATGCTGGGTCTGGAATCAGGAAGACCTGAGTTCAAATGTGGCCTCAGACATTTGGGAAAATCACTTAATCTCTGATGACTTAGTTTCCTCATCTGTAAAATGGGAATAATAATAGCATCTACCTCCTAGGGTTGTTGTGAGGATCAAATGAGATAATAATTGTATTATTATTATTATTATTACCCAATAGAGATACTCCACTCAGGAGGAACAGCCTGAAGTCATTATAAGGGAGGACATTGTCCTATTAGAGTCATGAATTGTCTTGGCCACAAATATTTTCCCTAAATGTGTATTAGCCTATGATTGTGTAACAGCCTATCAGCCTGATCTAAGTTTGTGCCCACTCTTCCACTTGTGGAAGTGTGTGCCCCAGGTGTGCAGAAGGAGTATTGCGTAGCTACTATCCTTACTATGCCATCTTAATAAATGCTTTTGTTTTGAGGAAATTGTATCTGCTGCATGACTGTTACAGCTAAGTGCACTGGTTGGGGCTTGTGAGCTACAGTTCTAGAGGTACAGACTCACCTTTGGACCCTAGGTGCAGTCATCTTTCAAGGACTCAATTCAAAAGTACAAGTACAGTAGCTCCCAGAGGGGTGCTTTAAAAGTGATTACCTAGCTGGGTCATCACATCCCTGGATAGACAGTAGGCAAACTGTAAGCCAGTTTGTTATTTTTGTGCATTTCTGTCTCTTAAAAATCTGCCTCTATCCTCACTTTAATGAGGAGGCAGTCTGAAATGCAACAGAAGGTTGGGAGCCTTCAAAGGTTTAATTTCCCAAAAAAGAAAAAAAAGGGTGAAAGACAAATGAGGAGAGAGCAAGGGAGGGGGTGGCTTTGCATCGCTCATCGGTGTCGTGCAGACATTATCTTCTGTAAAGCCGTCACTGAAGGATGAATTAGCAGGTCCTTGGCCATTGCAGTCCTCTGATAATGTCAGCAGTGAGAGATCACCCTAGGATTTGTTGGCAAGGAGCAAATGCCTCCAGCTCCAGCAGCTTCTGCTGCCCTGGAGCTTGCCTCTGCAACGGGTCAGCCTTCTCGTGGGGCCAGGCAGCTGTCCAGGAGCAGTGAAGCTGCCATCCAAGCGTCTTGGGCTGAGGGCATGTCAAAGAACATCTCCTGCCCTTCCCCCAGTTTTTAGTATTCGCTGCTTCCTTTTGCAATGACTTTGACTTTGTAAGTGTTTGGTGTTTACTTCTCTGTGTGCCTATTGGATTCTCAGGGACAATATGAACTTTCTGAGAGCAAAAATGGTTTTATTTTTTGTTATTCTATTCCCAGCACTGTCCCAGTCCTTTGCACATGTATGTAGTACATGAAGAAAGCACTGTATTTACTTTATGTGCATATAGTATTTCCCCCAATAGAATGTAATCTCCTTGAGGACAGGGACATTTTTGTCTCTATCCAGAGTATCCAGCTCAATGCCTTATACCAGTAAATACTTAATAACAGCTTATTCAATGTAAGTGCTTAATAACTGCTTATTGAAAGGATGAGTGAACCGTAGAGATGTTATATAATAGTAATAATTACTAAAAACAAAACAAAGTGAGCATGTGAAAGTCCCTTAATCTGGACCCAGACTTGTCTATCTTAGTGGGAAAAGCCACTGTGACCTCATCAAGTGGATCTCTAGTCAATTCTCTGTGATTAATATTATATAAGGGAACAATGGATAATCCAAACTCAGGAATGACCCACCCCCCATTCCTAAAACTTGAGTTTGGTTTGCATCACAGACTTTTCCTCCAGCAGATTCACTTTCCTAGTCCTGCTCTGCTCAGGCGACTGAGTTTCCAGCAGTTGAGCACACCCCAGCTGATGAGGAGGGCAGGTAGGCTAGCAGTACTCCTCTGCTGAGCAGCGAGCAGCAATCAGTCTGGGATTCAACCTTGACCATGGTCAGTCCACCAAGTGGATACCATGGCGTAAATCCTTTGGTTTCTCAGACTTTCCTTCAGTGAGCCTGGTCTAACTCCTTACCATCTTTTGTTCCTTTGTTTTGCAGGTTCCCTGGATGAGAAAAAGCTGAAGGTGGCTCCCTGCCCACCTTCTCTGTAAGCTCAGGGGTGGGGGCCTTGGGGCCCTTGGGAGTCACCAATGCCGAAGAACAGCAAAGTAACACAGCGTGAGCACAGTAATGAACATGTCACCGAGTCTGTGGCCGACCTGTTGGCCCATGAGGAGCCAGTGGACTATAAGCACAGTGTCCTGAATATGGCCGGAGAGGCCCAAGACAAACAGAAGGACGTGGAGGAAGACCTGGAGGCTGAGGATCGGCCTGCCTGGAACAGTAAGCTGCAGTACATCCTGGCACAGATCGGCTTCTCCGTGGGCCTGGGCAATGTCTGGAGGTTTCCATACTTATGCCAGAAAAATGGTGGAGGTAAGAGGCAGCCTTGAGGCTAGAGGGGGGTGGCTTTAGATTATTGCTGCTGTTTGAGGGGCAGAAAACTGCTCAGACTTGATGTGTTCAATGTGGACATCAGCATCTTCTCCCTTAAGCCCTCCCCTCCTCCATATTTTCCTAGAGAGCACCCCCATCCTTCTACTCACTCAGATGACTTCAGACTCCCTCATCCCCCATATCCGGTTACCAAGTCTTGACTTCCCCTGTATGTCCATCCCTTTCTTTTCACTCACATGGTCACCAACCTGCTCCAGGTCCTAATTACCACTTAAGGGCTCTTTTTAACCCTCCTAATTGGATCTAATTGGTCTTCCTACTCCCAGACTCTCCTACTTGATTCACCTTCCACACGTCTGCCTAAATCATCTTCCTAAAGCCTAAGTCTGGCCTTGTCACTACTCTGCCCTCATATACCTAGTCGTCTTTCCCTCGGCTTCCAATGTGTATTAGAGAAAATAAAAACTCCTTAGCACAGCTTTTAAAATTCTCTACCCTGGTTCCCATCTGTCTTTTCCACCATAATTCGTATTACTTCCTATATTCAATCTGTTTCCTGACCTTGACACTGTATCTCCCACCTGTGTGCAGTTGGACTGGCAGTCCCTCATGCCTGAAATATATTCCTTCCTCATCTCTACCTCCCAGAATCCTTGTCTTCAAGGCCCAAGTGCCATCTTCACCATAGAGCCTAGCTTGATTTCCTCCTCTATCCCATTGGTCAGTGCTTTTTCCCTCCTCAATTGACCCTGAATTATACTTAGCTGTGTACGTATTGTATCCCTCTCCCTACTAAACTGTAAGATTCCTGAGAGCAGAAATGCCTTCATTTTTATCTTTTTCTGCCCTGGCCTTGGTACAATGTCTTGAGTGTGTGTGTGTGTGTGTGTGTGTGTGTGTGTGTGTGTGTGTGTGTTTAGTTGTTGTCAGTTGTGGCCAACTCTTCGTGAACCCTTTTGGGGTTTTCTTGGCAATGATACCAAACTGGTTTGCCGTTTCCTTCTCCAGCTTATTTTATGGTTGAGGAAACTGAGGCAAATAGGGGTAAGTCATTAGTCCAGGGTCACACAGCTAGAAGTGTCTGAGGCCAGATTTGAACACAAGTCTTCCTAACACCCAGCACTCTAACACTGTGCACCTAGCTCCCTCCTCTTGCACATAGTATTTAATAAATATTTGCTGATTGATTGAAATAGACTGCTCTAGACAAGAATGCGCTGGTTAAACTGTCCCTCAAAGGGAAAACATGCAAATCACAATTTTAAATTCAATCTGTATTGTTAACATTCTCTTCCTCACTTTCTTAAGTCTAGAAAATCAGCAAAACAGTAAATCAAGCCTTGATTTTCAGAGTCTGCAAATTTCCAAGGTGTAAATGCCCACACTTCATTTAATATCAAGAGAGGGTGCAGACTAACGCCAGTACCACACTAGCTCTAGGGTATTAAAAAGCAAAATAATAATATTGATGCTAAGATCAGCTTATATTTATATAGTCCTTACTATGTGCCACTCACTGTGTTAAGAACTTCACAATTATTATCTCATTTGATCCTTATAGCCCTGGGAAGTAGGTGCTATTATTATTCTAATTCTACAGATGAGGAAACTGAGACAAACAGAGGTTAAGTAACTTGCTCAGGGTCACACTGATATCTTCCTGACTCCAGACCCAGTGCTTAAAGAACTTATAAGGATGAGGAAGCATTTTGGCAGGAGAACTGTCACTCTGTGATTTGTGAATATGGTTATTCCAGTAAAAACCTTGGTTAGCTAGAGCCCTTGGGATTTTTTCTGCCCTCCATTTCTGTGAGAAAAAGATGCATGACAAGAGAACAAGCCGAAACCAAGGTTTTATTTCAAGATCAGTTCCCAGGTATGTCCTAGGCTTAGATCATAATAACTACCCACAGAGGCGTGATACCCGAAGGTATAGTAGGGTTTTTTCCTCACAATAATACCATGAAGTTAGTAGGACAAATATGCCTATGCCCAAGTCACAGATGAGGTTACTGAAGTTCAGAAAGAGTGAAGTGACTTGTCCACAGCTAGTCAGCTCTTCAGTATTAGAGGTAAGGCTTGAACCAAGGTCTCTTTATTTCAAGTCTACCACTTTTCCTACAAATCCACAATGTCGCTTTATTTCTAGATGGCCTTTATCTTCTATATTTATTCCTATGGTCCTATGTTTTCACTGAACAAATATTTATTGACTATTAACACTTATGAGCCACTATACCAGCTGCTGAGGGGGAAGGAGGGAATAAGAAAGAGGAAGACATGGTTCCCACAGTCCTGTGGGTTGTAGTATAGTAGTGGAGATAAGCTAAGTATTTTGTAAACCTTAAAGCTCTAAGTAAATGTCTTATTATTCAGGGCTATGTGGGTAAATGTTTAACAACAAATTCTCTCTGGGTGAAGGAGGAGGAAAGATGGTATGTTGGGCGCACTTCTAAATTTAATCTGAATTATTAACATTTTATTCATCACTTTCTTAAGTCCAGAAATCAACAGAACAACAAATTAAGTCCCGATTTGCAGCATTTGCCAACTTCTGAAGTGTAAATGCTCATACAGAAAATTTAACAGCTGGCTTTTGAGAGCGGGTACAAGTTGGATTAATAACTATAATTCAAGGTAAAATGCGAAGGTTCGAGAAAAGGGGTAGAAACTTTCATGAGTTCACAGTAACGGATCACTTTCAGATTTAAAAAAACATTTTTTGGGGGAGGGGGATGAAATCAGGGAAGACTTCATGGGGAAAATGTCTTTGGAATCAGACCTTGAAGGAACATCATTGATGTTCAAAATAGTGACTCCAACGTAAGCTGCAAGGTTCTAAATCATCAAAGAAAGATATCCCATCCAGTATGCTTTACTTGGCTGCATGGCATGGGCAATAGAGGGCTGACCTCAGTCAAGAGGGTCTGGGTTCAATTTCAGCCTCTGACTGTACTGGCTTTGTGACTCTGGGCAAGTCACCTAATCTCTCACTGTCTTCAACAACTCTCTAATAGACCAAAAGTTAAGGAGAAAATAAAGAGACTTCATTACCTCGAGCTCCCTATGCTGATGAAATCTCAGGTCTGGTAAAACGAAAACAACAACAACAAAAAGCAAACTATATTAAGGAAGGAAAATGTACAAATGCATTTTCTTCAAGAAAAAAAATAGAGATTTTATTTTTTCTAATTTAATTTATTTCAGTTAATGAAAATCTACCTTATACTCCCCCTCCTGACTTAAAAAACAAATGCACTTTTAAAAGATTTTCAGCAAGAGTTGAAATTAAAGGGCCATGTGATTAACCAGAATATTCCCACTTTCCTGATCTCTGTTAAAAGCCACCACTCCCCCACAACACTTTCTCTCTCTCTCTCTCTCTCTCTCTCTCTCTCTCTCTCTCTCTCTCCTCTCTCTCTCTCTCTCTCTCTCTCTCGTCCTTTTGTTAGAGGAAGTGTTGAAAGTAAACTTTCCTTGGAGAAATCAAAGCATAGAAAGGCTACAACCCCCTTTCTCCAGTTAAAGTCTCAGCATCCCCCCACCTTCCACTTCACACACAGAACCAGTCTTGAACAGAACCCAGAAGTTTAAGCGACCGATCCTCTTTAGTTTCAGTATCGTACTATCTGCTGGTGGCATTTCTCATTAGTGATGAGTTGAAGTGATAATCATAATTGCTGACGTTTTAGATAGAGTGCTTTAAGATGGACAAAGTGTCTTATATACATAATGTCTTTTGAGGTAGGAGCTATTATTAACACTTTTTTTTTTTGCTTTTAGGCAGTTGGGGCTAAGTGACTTGCCCAGGGTCACACAGCTAGTAAGTGTCAAGTGTTTGGTCTGAGGCCAGATTTGAACTCAGGTCCTCCTGACTTCAGGGCTGGTGCTCTATCCACTGCGCCACCTAGCTGCCCCACACTTTTTTTTTCAGTTGAGGAAACTGAGACTTAGAAACCGTAAGTGTCTTGCCCAGAGGTAGAATAGTGTGTAAACAGAGGCACACTGTTGTTCAGTCATGTGGACTCTTGGTGACTTCACTTAGGGTTTTCTAGGCAAAGATATTGGATCCGTTTGCCATTTCCTTTTACAGATGAGGAAACTGAGGCAAACAGGGGGAAGTGACTTGCCCAGGGTCACACAACAAGTAAATGTCTGAGGCCAGATTTGAACACATTAAGATGAGTCGTCCTGATTCCAAGCCCAGGGCTGTATCCACGGGGCCACCTAGCTGTCCTAAAGTGAAGGCCAGAATGGCTAATTAACTTGCCTAGAGTCACACAGCTAGTAAATCGAGATTCAAACTCAGGTCTTCCTAATTCTAGGTGTAGCAATCTGTCCACTACATCACTTACCTCTTAACCATTATCAAGGTTTGGGGGAGGGGGTTAGTATTTAATGAAAGAGGGGCAGAATGGTGAAAGCTCTGTGAATTGGCTTCCTCTAGGAAGCCTTCCCTAATAAAATCTGTTAGGCTGTGAATGGATGGATGGACGGATGGATGGATGGATGGATGGGTGAATGAATGAAAAAGTACTTGTTAGGCACTTACCACGTGGAAAGCACTGGAGTTACAAATAGAAAAGCAAAAAATTCATCTCTCTCAAGGAATTCCTATCCGACTAGAGGAAACAGCACCTATTTGCCTTGCGTCCCCCTCAGTATCTTACACTCGCATTCACTCATTCTACAAATACGCGCTTATTGTACACTGTGTTAATGTACTGCTGCAGGTCTGTTTCTTGGTACCTGTCCTTTAAGTCCCTCAAGAGCAGAGACCATTTCTTATCTTTCATTGGTATTTCTCTCCCAGTGCCCAGGAAGGTGCCCACAGGGTGGGATACTACAGGCTGATTGACTGGTGAGGGTGATGGAGGATTTGTCCCTGTCTAATGTATGGGGCAGAGAGGCACAAAACAACACGGCACCTGAAGGCTTGGCATGGTGAGGGGGTCCTGGCAGCTTGTACTGGGTGACTGTCTGACAAGCAGAGTTGACAGCTAATGCTTTGGACCAGTTGTAGGGTGAGGGTGTATTTACTACGGTAGAGGCCGATGTTGGCACATCTCTCCACTGAGGGTACTCGCTCGTGTCCAAACATGGTTGTAATTCTCCTGCTAAACGCCCTGTCACTTAGAATCGGGAATGTGTCTGAAACGATGCCCTGGGCGGTGCGATTAATTCGTCAGCTGGAATCTTTGGCAAGATCCGGTTCATCCTTTGCGGTCATCCTGGTTATGCTTTCCGCGCTACTAATTTCTCTGCACATTCCCCAATTAGTCGTAGATTAATAGTGTTTCTAGTCAGGGCCTTTGCTCTCGGGAAAGATTCCAGCCTCTGCTTTCCTGGAGCTACCCAATGTGCTGTGTCATCAGTTAATGCCCACGCAGTAGAGGTAGTGCTAGGAGTACCTAGCAGGGTGCCCGAGCATTTATCCGTGTAGATGATGGACTGGATCTGCCGGGGATGCTCTGCTGTGTGGGTTAGTTAGCCTGGAAGAATATCAGTTTACACTCACGTAATATTTTGCAATTTCCAAAGCATTCTATTTAAGAATTGACATTTCTATGGTGCTTTCAAGTTTGCAAAATTCTTTTCAATCCAACCCTGCCAAGCAGGTAGTATAGCTATTATTACAGATGAGGAAACTGAGGCCACTGTTAGACAGCTGGGTGTCAGTAGATAGAACGCTAGTCTCAAATTCAGGAATACCTGAGTTCAAATCCAGCCTCAGACATTCACTAGCTGTGTGACCCTGGACAAGTCACTTAATCTGTCTGTGTGCCTCAGTTCCCTCATTAGTAAAATGGGGATAATAGTTCATCTACTTCCCAGGCTTGTTGTGAGGGTTAAGTGAGATAATATATGCAGGACATCTTGAAAACCTTCAATAAATGCCAGCCATTATTTCTATTACTATGTCTATGCAAGACTACCTTTTACTCAATGCTAGGCATGCACCATGTTTGGGTTGGCATGTGAAAAAAAAAAGCATTTTCCTCTGAGACTGGCTTGCCTTGTTGAGATGTTGGGATGCACATGAATTTAGTACTGAACCTTCCACGTTAGGAATTTCCTTGGAGGAAGAAGCAAGTACAATAGAGACAAAATGTATGCATATAGGATGTCATGGTCCTGGGTCCACTGATTGCCAAGTTTCCATAGTCTGTAACATGGGCATGCCCCCAAGGAAGAGAGAAGATGGCATCAAGATCCTGTGAGATAAAGTCCTCACTGCCCAGCCATTTGATACATTCTTTACCTGAGACTGAAAAGAGTGGTCAATACAACACAGCACAGGGCACCCAGGGATATACACAACTCAGGGGAACCTCAATACAGACACAGAGAGAAATCTACTGAAGGAAATAAATTCCTCAGACCTTTGCTGCTTTGTCACAGTGAGATCTTACCTGGCTCTCGCTGCCCAAATTGGGCATCCAATTCTACCATCAAGGTGTAAGGGTCAGTCTGGGGATAAACCAGCCCAGAAGTCTAGCCTACCTTTTTATTTATAAGCAGCCTTCACAAAGGCTGTAAGTGAGCCTGATGGTGCCCCTGGGTGGGCTTTTGGCTGCAACTGTTGCCTTCCTAGTCCTACAACTCTACTGCTTCATCTCTCTGGCCAAGGATAGTAATGGGAAGTAGAAGAAAGCCTCAATGAGTTCTAGGAACATCAGGGAAGCAAAGGAATCTCTAAGGGTGAGGTTGCCAGTCCATCTGGATCTTTTTTGCCAAGCATGTTCTCTATCTCACTTCACCTTTGCCTCACTTACCTGAACTCCCTGATACCTCTTCTCTCTCCATGCAGGTGCTTACCTCGTGCCCTACCTGGTGCTGCTGATCATCATTGGGATCCCACTCTTCTTCTTAGAACTGGCTGTGGGCCAAAGGATACGCAGGGGCAGCATTGGAGTGTGGCACTATGTGTGCCCTCGGCTGGGTGGCATTGGCTTCTCCAGTTGCATTGTGAGTTAGGGAAGGGCGGATGGGGAGAAGAAAGATGGAAGAAAATGATGAGGATGAGTGGGAAGGGAGGAGGAAGCGATTGAGGCTATTTCCTGAGCCCAAAAGAAAAAAAGAGCAGTTCTTGGAGCCCAGAGAAGAGGTCACAGAGGTTCCATCAAGGTTCTGTGCCAGAAGGACTGATAGTTGAATAAAGAATTGAGTCTAGGTGATTGATGTTCCTAGTGACCACTCAGCTGGATCTTTTGTTTTTTAGGCAATTGGGGTTGAGTGACTTGCCCAGAGTCACACAGCTAGTAAGTGTCAAGTGGTAGGTCTGAGGCCACATTTGAACTCAGGTCCTCCTGACTTCAGGGCCAGTGCTCTATCCACTGTGCCACCTAGCTGCCCCTCAGCTAGATTTTTCTGCCCCATCCTGAAAAACTGACTTTTATTTTCTAGGAATCTAAGGGAACATGCTCTGTCTGGCTCATCGTTTCATTACCTCCCTCGTGTTAAAAAGAAGTCTGTTGTTTTTACTTGGAGGAGTGGGCAAAAATGGAGAGGCTTGATTAGTCATTCAGCCCCCAAGGTTCATCAGTCATCTGCACATGAGCTGAGAACTACAGGCATCCTTCAGTGTGGATTGCAGCTTAGTGGGTGGCTCAGAATAGTTCTTTCAAACAGAGACAGGGAGTTCTCATCAAGAGGGACTATGTGGTGTAGACAAAAATCACAAGAATCATGCTGGCTATCAATTAATCAACCAACAAGCATTTATTAATTACTTATTATGTGCCAGACACTGTACTAAGGACTAGGGATACAAAGAGAAAGCTGAAAGAATCTTTGACCCCAACAAACAACATTCTGGGGAGATACCAACATCAATAGATATGTGCAAGATGTGAACAGAGTAGATGCAGGGTAACCTTAATAGGGAAAGAGTGACCTGAGGGAAGAACTGGGAAAGGACTTCCACAGAAGGTGGGATATGAACTGAGTCTTAAAGGAAGCCAGAGGAGCCAGAAGGAGGGATTGAGGAGGAAGACAATTCCAGGCATGGGAGCAGCCATGACAAGCATACCTAGTTGGGAGACAGAATCATGTCATATGGGAGGAACTGCAAAGAGACCAGCTTGGCTGGATTATAGAGTATGCAAAGGGAAGGAAAGTATGAGGAGACTATAAGGATAGGAGGGGGTTATGTAGATTATAAAGGGTTTTAATGCCTAACAGAGGATTTCAGATTTGATCATGGAAGTACTAAGGAACCACTGGAGTTTATTGGACATTGGGACCACAAGGTCCAACCTGTGCTTTAGAAAAATGCCTTTGGTAGCCGAGTGGAGGATGGATTGGATTGGGGACCCAGAAGGCCATCGCAATCATTCAGATGAGTGATAACGAGCGCAAAGGTAGTGACTGTGTGAGTGAGGAAAAGGTGACATATATGAGAGGTGCTATAAAGGTAAAAGCTATAAGATTTGACAGCAGATTGGATATATGGGATGAGTGCAGGAGTAAGGAGTCAAAGATAAGGCAGAGGTTATAAGCTTACTTAAGCTTATAGGGAGGATAGGAGCAGCTAGGTGGTGCAGTAGATAGAGTGCTCAGCCTGGAGCCAGGAAGACCTGAGTTCAAATCCTGCCTCAGATACTTACTATGTGACTCTAAGCAAATCACTTAATTTGACTCAGTTTCCTCACCTGTATAACGAGCTGGAGAAGGAAATGCCAAATGACTTCAGCATCTCTGCCAAGAAAACCCCAAATGAGGTCACAAAGAGTCAGACAAGACTGAACAACAACAAAACAGTTAGTTAGTGATACCCTTGATGGGGGCAGGAAACCTGGGAAGAGAGAAGGGTTTGGGGGCAAAGACAATGAGTTCTGTTGAACACGCCTCTGGGACTTCCAATTCAAGATATCCAAGAGTCAGTTAGTGATTCAAGACGAGAGTGGAGAGAAATTAGGACTAGATGCATAGATCTGCGTAAGCTAGTTAAATCCATGGGAGTTGATAAAGTCACTAAGTGAGACAATGTAGAAGGAATAGAGAAGACGGTCCAGCACAGAGATATGGGAGACAGCCATGGTTAGTGTGTGTGACCTGTATAAAGATCCAGCAAAGGAGTTAGAAGACTGGTCAGACAGGTAGGGAGAGAGTCAGGAGACGGCAATTTCGTGAAAACCTAGAGAGGAGACAGCATCCAGAAGGAGAGGATGGTCAACAGCGCCAGATGTTGCAGAAAGGTGGGAAAGGATGAAAGCTGAGAGAAGGCCGTCAAACACTGGCAACTTTGGGGAGAATAATCTCAGTTGAGTGGTGGAGCTAGAAGCCAGATAGCATAAGGTCAAGAAGCAAGAGTGAGGAGAGGAAGTGGAGGCATTTTTCTAGGAGCGTTGCTGAGAAAGGGAAGGGAGGTATAGGATGATAGCTTGAGGGTAAGGGAACAAGCATTTATTAAGTGCCCATTGTGTGCCAGGCACCATGCTAAGGGCTTTACAAATATTATCTCATTTGATACAACAACCCTGCGATGTAGGTGCTATTATGATCCCCATTTTACAATTGAGGAAACTGAGGCAAACAGGTTAAGTAACTTGCCCAGGGTCACACAGTAAGTAAATGCTTGAGACCAGATTTGAACTCAGGTCTTCCTGACTCAAGGGCCAGCGTTCCATCCACTGAGCCATAGCTACCCTTTTGAAGGTATGGTAGGTTTTTGTGAGGGTTTTTTTTTTAAGGATGGGGGTGAGGGGGTTGTGGGCACATTTTTAAGCAGGGGGAAAGAAACCGGTATCTTTAGACTGATGATTAGAGAGAAAAGGGACAATTGTGGGAGCAATCTGCTAGAGAAAAGGGTAGGAGATGGAATCAAGAGAATAGGTAGGGGGCTTGGCCTTGACAAAGACCAGAATAAAGTAGGAAAAAATAGGGGTTGATGTAAAAGGAGTTTTGAGGTGTTAGAGGAGAAAAGAAGGAGCACAGCACACGGGCTGGATATTCTCAATAAAATATGAGGTGAGGCACTCCACTGACAAGATGGGTAGAGGAGGAGGTAGGGAAGATGAAAAAAGAGAAGATTTGGACCAGCTTCTATGGGGAGTGAGACAGGGAATCAATTAGGAAGGAATAAAAGAATTACCTTGCTGAGGTAAAAGTCCAGTGGAGATCAGGCAAATTCATTGAGGACAAATCTTATGACTCCAGATTCTTTGTTTTTTTGTATAAGGCTTGAGCACTTCGGCAAGCCTTTTGGGGCCTCAGTTTACTCATCTGTGAAATAGGGATAATATTGCTGTCACAGAAAGATCCACCAAGGATGTTGCAGGTGATACTGAAAAGGTCAGATCGGGTAAGAGTTTGGGGACAGCATCACTACTTATGGTAATCTCAACCTGAGCTCTCTGGGCAGTGTCAGAGAGAGGCAGTTTCTGTCTTTACAGGGCTCTCTGTCCATCTGTCTTTTTCCAGGTCTGCATCTTTGTTGGGTTGTATTACAATGTGATCATTGCCTGGAGTATATTTTATTTCTTCAAATCCTTCCAGTATCCATTGCCCTGGAGTGAGTGCCCTGTCATTAGGAATGGAACTACCACAGGTAAGTCCCTGGGAGCCTAGGCTGAAAGGCATGGAGATATAAGCCATAGCACCATTGGTATGCTGACCCTGGCCTGGCATCACCTGCCTACCAACCACAACTCGGATTTAGTTTGTAATAGATCTTTGTAGCTTATTGGCCGGGAAAAGGGACTCTTCCTGACTAAAGAAATTTCCAAAGAGCAAGAGCTCCTTTAAACTAAGGGAACAGGTTGGAGATTTGAAACAGTGAGTCTTATACCACCTGTACAATTAGATCAAAATGCCGCCTTCATTGTCACCTAACTTCTCTGAGACTCAGTCTATAAAATGGAGAGGAAATCAGTGATAAACTCAGTGGGAAGACAAAGGGGAAAATGTAATATTAGCTAACAGGAATTATTATTATAACAATCTACTGCCTCTGGCTTATATATCACTTTAACATCTCTGATCCGTTTTAGTCCTCATACCCCTCCCATGAGCAAGTGGTCAGGATTCTCATTGCCATTTTAGGGATAGGACTAGGATGGAGACCTTGGATTTCTATTTCCAGGTAAAGAAACTTCCTCCATCAATGCGGGTGGGCACTTCTGTACACCTTCAGTCTTAGACAGTTTGCCCAGAGCACTAAGGAGTTAAATTACCTACTAGCCCACAGTCCCATAGTCAGTATGTGGTAGTGGTCTGCCAGACACCACACTGCCACCCCTTTTTGCAATAGAGGAAAAATTAGAAGGGAAAGGTGATTTAATAGCTAATTGCTAACAACTACATATAGCGCCTACTATGTTTCAGACACTGTGCAAAGCAATTTACTATCATTATCTCATTTGATCCTCACAACAACCCTGTAAGGTATGAGACTATTATGATCCTCATTTTACTGGATGAGGAAAATGAGGTAAACAGAGGTTAAGTGAGTTGCCCAAGGTCATTCAGCTAGTAAGTGTCTGAGGCCGAATTTGAACTCAGGTCTTCCAAACTCCAGGTCCAGCACTCTATCCACTGCTCCACCTAGCTTCCCCTCCCCCTTCTCCGGCTTTGTCCAAGGTCATGATAGCATTATAGATTTAGAGCTGGAAGGGACCTTTGGGGTCATCTTGTCCAGCCCTTTATTTTATTGATGAGGAAACTGAGGCCCAGAAAGTTTAATTGATTTGCCCAAGGGCACACGTGTAGTAGCAGAAATGTACTTTGAACCCAGGTCCACTGACTCCAAATCTGTTGTTGTTCAATCCTTTCAGTAGTGTCCTACTCTTCATGACACCATTTGGGGTTTTCTTGGTAAAGATACTGGAGTGGTTTGCCATTTCCTCCTCCAGCTCATTTGACAGATGAAGAACGTGAGGCAAACAGGGTTAAGTGACTTGCCCAGGGTCACACAGCTAACCAGTGTCTGAAGTCAAATTCAAACATGTGAAGATGAGTCTTTCTGCCTCCAGGCTGGGCACTGTGTGCACAATAGCACCATCTAGCTGCTCAAAGACTTCAAATCCACTGCTTTTTAAATTTCATCCTCCTGCCTCCCAGAAGGATACAATCTGGTCAGCAGAAGAGCTGAGACGGGAAGCTGAGCCTTCTAACTTGGGCTTGCCTCATGATCTTAATGTCAGGAAGGTGATGTGAGGCAAGAATTTAGCCAGGCCAGACTGTCCTAGTGTTCTCTAGGAACTGCTGGGAACCCAGGAGTGCCCAGTGCCCAGCATATCTTGTAACTATGACAACCTGGTTTACTCAGAATGAGATCGGGACCTTTTCTCTCTCTGCTCTCTAATGGGTTGGAAGGAAATACTTTGTCGCATCCCACAGGGTGATATTGGGTGGGTGGGACAATGCAGTGTCCTTGCCAGTGCTCCTCAGTCCTTAGGCGCCATGGCTTTGATCATTGGTTTCAGTGGTGGAGGAAGAGTGTGAAAAGAGTTCAGCTACCACCTACTTCTGGTACCGAGAGGCCCTGGACATCTCCAACTCCATCTCAGAGAGTGGGGGGCTCAACTGGAAGATGACCCTCAGCCTCCTTGTGGCTTGGAGCATTGTGGGTATGGCTGTGGTCAAGGGCATTCAGTCTTCAGGAAAGGTAAGTAGCAGAGGGCTGCAGAGGTGGGAAGGGATAAGGGGTAGTAGGTGTCAGGGGATGAGGACACTAACCAGGAACTGATAAGGTCTGGGTTCTGAATCTGTATTAGTTCACTACATGCTTTTATCTAAGCCTTTTTGGGGGGCCTCAGTTTCCCCATCTGTGAAGTGGGGATAATAATATTACTCTACCTTCCTCACAGGGTTGTTGTGAATCAAAAACATACACATTCAAGTGACATAGAATCATGAGTTATTATTCTTTCTAATGGGTCCACAATGAACAATTCCATGGCCAAAAAGGTTGCCTGATGGGATGGGGAGGAGTCACCAAAACGTGGATGAACAAACTTCTGTTCCTTGACTTTGTAAATAGTTGTTGACTGCTCCTTGTTGAACTAATGGTCAGAGGTCAATTGGGTTTGATGCAGGAGGTTGGGCAAAGAGAGAGGAATCCCCCCCTGGGGTTATTCTTATTGCAAAAGTGGTTTTCTAGTCTAAGCCAAGGGCTGGCTGACAGTCAAGCTTGCTAAGAAAACTCCCAGTACTGCCCTCTAGGTACCTGAGAGCTAGGAGCTCAGAATTACCCACACAATCCCAGAGCTGGAAGAGGCCCCAGAGGCCTCCTAGTCCAACCTGTACCTCCACAGGAAGGTCCTCCACAGTATTTTTAACAAATGGTCAAACAGCTTTCATGTAAAGATCCTGGGGAGAGGGAAACCCTTCTTCCTCCTAAGGCAGCACTCCTTCTACTTTGTTTTGTTAGTTTTTCCTTACATCTGCCCCCGGCAACTTCCACCCCTATTCCTAGCTCTACCCCATGGGGTCAAGCAGGACAAATCTGTTCCCTCCCTCTTCCATATGACAGCCCTATCCTAAAAATGATGATAAAGATGGGATAAAAGTAGAGAAGGGGTGTTAGAGACTTTATTGAGCTGATGCGTCTTCCTAAGCAAAAAAGATTAACCCTGTGATCTAAGGTTAGATTCTTTACCTTCAAACTCCCAAACAAAAAATTCAGAAAGGCCTCCCCTGCCCCACTTGTCTAGTTACAGAATCAGCAGATCTTGCCTAACCAAGCTTTAGCTGAGGTGGGACTTGTAATGTATGCTGATGAAACCTTAGAGGGCTCTAGCTTTCTGTAAAACACAAGTACATTTGAATGTACTTAACACTCCATTTTCCTTGGAGCCCAGGACCTCTTTAAATAGAGCTAAACCTTCTAACTTGCTAAATATAATTGCTAACATTTATACAGCACTCTAAGGCATATAAAGCATTTTAGTTATAATCACATTCAAACCTCACAACAACTTTGTTGGGGGGGGAGACTAGTTCATTATGCCCATTTTTACAGATGAGCAAACTGAGGCTAAGAAGGGTTGAGTTTGTAGGGTCACACATCTAGGGTTGAAGAGGTCTAGAGGTTTTGGGGTGCTGGAAACCCCTAGATCGAGATAACGGGCCCTGCCTGAAAGAATTCAACTCAGATCTTCTTCCAGCCAGAGGAAAAGTTTATTAGTGATAAAAACACATAGGTCAGGTGACGCCAGTCCTTATGGGTGGGCATGAGAAAGTTTCAGCCTTTAGGGCTTGAGATTCTCCACCCTTAATGAGGGCCAGGGGAGAGCTTATAAACTAAAATGACTCTGGGTAATCAGGGGAGGGTCTGGGAAAAGGGGGTGGATGAGAATTCTGATTGGCTGAGAGATTGAGTAGACAATGGGAATAGATAATGAAATCAAAAAGGTGGGGCTAAGGCTTTCAATAAGGAGATAAGGAACCTAAACTGGGAACCAGATTCCCTTTGGGGCAAGGGGCAAAGATCTCAACTTGGGCCACACCCCAGTTTGTTTGAGGAGGGAATGAGGGGGTGGGGCACAAGTTGAGGTCTTTGTTATCTCCCTTTGAAAGCCCTAGCCAATCAGAATTCTCATCCACCCCCTTTTCCCAGACCCTCCCCTGATTACCCAGAGACATTTTAGTATATAAGATCTCCCCTGGCCCTCATTAGGGGGGAAGAATCTCAAGCCCACCCATTTTTACGGGCATCACCTGGCTTATGTGTTTTTTCCCTTTTAGTAAACTTTTCTTCTGGCTGAAGAAGATTTGAGTTGAATTCTTTCAGACAGGACCCAGTACTGCAGTTTTGGGGTTTCCAGCACCCCAAAACCTCTAGACCTCTTCAGGGTCACACATCTAGTGTCTGAGGAAGGATGTGAACCCAGGTCTTCCTGAACACCAAGTCCAGGACTCTATCCACTACACCACCTAGTTGCCTCATATCAGATACTCAGTATGTTGAACGTTAAACAAAGGGCATGGGTAATAGGAGGCAGAGAAAGGACACAAAGTGTGGTGGGTGCAATTGCCATCCTTGGGTGTACCTCAGGTGAAGCATTTAACCAAGTGATTGCTTTATAATCTGCCTGGATTCCACCAGCCCTAAGGAGAGAGCCAGTTCCTTGGCACTGCCCATGCTTACATGAAACCTCTATTACCTCATCCCTTGGGAACTTTATAGGCATACCAGCCAAAGCTGGGGGTGGAGGATGGGCATAGCTGGTATATATTGGGCATAGCCAATATATCTAGGCACTATGCCAAGGAGCTTTGATGCCCCAGGGAGGTGCCTGGTATAGACCTCGGAGGGGGAGTTCTGTCTGTATGAAGCTGTCCTACTCTCTCCTATCAGCCTGGGGAGCAGGTGGGAGGATTACAAGTTTGTAAGGTTTTGAGCCATAAGAGATGAAGGGAAGCTGCCAGCAGGCACACAGCCCTGACCTTAGGGCATTTCCTTGTCTTCTCTCCAGGTGATGTATTTCAGCTCCCTTTTCCCCTATGTGGTGCTAGCCTGCTTCCTGGTCCGGGGGCTACTGCTACGGGGAGCTGTGGATGGGATCCTACACATGTTTACTCCCAAGGTAAAGCCTAGGATTCTTCCCTGGCAGTCACATACCTTGTGACATGTGTCATTGGGCACACTTGTGGCAAGAGAAACTCATCACCTACCTTACAACCAGGAAGCTCTCAAAAGAAAGTCTCCTCCAGGAATCTGCAGAACAATCTTCTGACTGGACGGTTATTTCAGTTATGCTAATAACTAGGGGTGTGCTGGTAAATATTTAACAAGCAGCACCCCCCCCAAAAAAAATCTAAGCAAGACATGATTTTGAGTTTAACCTGCATTTTAACATTTTCTCCATCACTTTCTTAGGTCTACTCTAGACAATCAACAAAACAAAAAGCCTTGATTTGTAGCATTTGTTGATTCCCAATGCTCACACTGAGAATTTAACTCCAATACACCTCTGTAATAACTCCTACATATTAAGGAGGCTCTTTTCACTTTACAAAGCACTTTTGCATTTCTTACCTCATTTGATCCTTACAACTACCCTGTGAAAGAGGCAGGACAAAGGATGATTATTACTGGTTTAACAAAGGAGAAAACTGAGGTTTGGGTTAAGTGATTTGTCACACAGCTAGTGAAGGGCAGAATCCCTCCCTCTACTTACCCCTAGTTAGATGTCCTCCTTTCTGCTGTCCCAGAGCTCACAGCTTTCAGAAAACTAGGAATCAAAAGCCACAGATTTAGAGAATCACAAAAGCTTGGAATTGGGCGGAACTTTCAAGGTCATCCAGTCCAGCCTGGATCTGAACTGGAATCTCTTCTGATGGGCACTCATCTCTTCTCAACTTAAAGACCTCTAGTAACTAGAAATAACAACAACAACAATAACAACAACAAATATTTTATAGCACCTACGATTTGCCAGGCACTATGCTAAATGCTTTATAATTATTATTTCATTTGATCCTCACAACTGTGAGGTAAGTACTATTATTGTCCCCATTTTACAGATGGGGAAACTGAGGCAAACAAGGTTTGCCAACGGTCTCACAGCTAGAAAGTATCTAAAGTTCTATTTGACCTCAGATCTCCCAGACTTCAGTTCCACTACTCAACCCACTACATCACGTAGTCATCTTACTAATGAGTTTGTTCAAGCCCTTTTCCCCCAGACAGCCTTCTTATCCTGATGGCAGCTTGCTAGCCATGACTTCTCTCTCTTTTTTCCATATTGTTATGGATACTAGCACCAATGAGACAATGAATGTGCCAGGCAAATATTTTACTAATACTATTAATTAATTACTATTACATAATTATATGTAATTACATACTATTAAATAACTACTAATTAATATTAATAACAATGTAGTTGCCAGGTTGTGGAGATTAAATGAGATAAGGGTGAAAGGCTACAACAGTGGAAGGATGTGAAGGATTGGGGTAATTATATGGTTGGGAAGGAGACTGTTGGTCAGGGACCATCCCTCACTGGGAAGGATATGATGGAGAAAGTGGGGGAGGGTGCCTGATTTCCTTGGTTCTGTTCCTCAATCTGCTGTCCCCATGCCCCCACAAAGGAATAATGAATGAGACTTGAGGGTTTCCCAGGTTTGCATGAGGAGTCAGGAGACAGGTTAGACCAGCAAGGGGAGGTGGTGCTTTGGATTAGGGTGGAAGAGGGCTGAAGACAGGAGAGTCTGGGTTCCCTGTCATTTTGATGCCTTTTGATGAAGCTGGGGGGAGGGAGGTTGTTTATGTGGTGTTGGGCGTGGGGGAGGGAGAAGGAGCAGAAACAAAACAATTAACCATTGTCTCCTCTCCCTTTTTCTTCCTTCCCCTCTTCCCTTTCCTTCTCCCTCCCTCCTTCCTTTTCCCTACTTCCTATCTTCCACCATCCAACAGCTAGACAAGATGCTTGACCCCCAGGTGTGGCGGGAGGCAGCTGCCCAGGTCTTCTTTGCCTTGGGGTTGGGCTTTGGGGGTGTCATTGCCTTCTCCAGCTACAACAAACAGGATAACAACTGCCACTTTGATGCCGCCCTTGTGTCCTTCATCAACTTCTTCACCTCGGTGCTGGCCACCTTGGTCGTTTTTGCTGTGCTGGGCTTCAAGGCCAACATCATGAATGAGAAGTGTGTGGTCGAGTAGGTGACACTCCCCTCCTCCTCATAGCTTCCTCCTCTCCCATCTCCCCTTCCTCCCTTAGGGCAGGAAGCCTGGGATAGTCACCCCTACCCTTGGGCTATGGAAAGCAGAACAGAAGAACCCTGTTTTCTCCACCCTCAGGTTACTAGAGAGAAGGTCAGAGACCTTCCTGTACTTGGTCCCTTTTGGGGTGAGGCCTGAGTAAAATATATAGGGTAGAGTGTAAGGAGGCTGCCCTACTGGGGATACTGACCCTGAGTAACTCCCTCATTCCTCCTTCACCCTCTCCACTGTCAGGAATGCTGAGAAGATCCTTGGATACCTGAACACCAATGTCCTGAGTCATGACCTCATCCCACCCCACGTCAACTTCTCCCACCTTACTGCCCATGACTACAGTGAGATGTACAAAGTCATCATGACTGTCAAGGAGGACCGATTCCAGGAGCTGGGCCTGGACCCTTGTCTTTTGGAAGATGAACTCAATAAGGTTTGGAGAGAGGGCTGTCCCTTTGCAGGGACCAGCAGCAATGATGAAAGGGTCCAGGGTCAGGGATAATAGATGTTTGGGATATAGGGGAAAGATTAGACAGGATCCTTGTCATTGGGGAACTCTATGACTAATCGATGAGGCAAGACAGGTATATCATCATTAATTCATTCAGCAAATATTCATAAAGCACACACTCTGTGCTAGATGAGGAGTAGTGTAGCATATCTGACAGGAGATTGGCCTTGGAGTTTGGAAGACCTGAGTTAAAATGCTGTCTCTGACCTATACTGGCTGTGTGATGGTGTACAACTGTACATTCTCTTAACTTCTCAATGCCTCAGACAGCTGTTTAGGATCTCAGGCTGGAGATGTATTGCTAATCTGCCTCTCAGCCTTGATGGGAGCCATTTACACAGTATAAGTGCCTAGCGTTAATGAAATTAATTTCATTAATTCTTTAATGTTCCCTGTCCCCTGACTCCTCATGGATACCTAGGAAACCCCCAAGTCTCATTCATTATTCCCTTGTGGGTGCATGGGGACAGCAGATTGAGGAACAGAACCCAGGAAATTAGGGTCCAAATTTCAAAAACTGAATGTGTGAAGTACTCTGGAGAATGGAAAAGCTAAGTTCCTGCCCTTACTATCTTGTTGGGTAGAAAAACTGGCCACACGTGAAAAGTTAAATAGATGTGTTGAGGGAGGATGCAAGAGGGGCTGAAAGGGGAAGGGAATAAGCACTTATTGAGCACCTACTATATGCCAGGTACTGTGCTAAGTGCTTCACAAATATTATCTCATTTGATCCTTACAACGACCCTGGAGGTAAGTGCTATTATGATCCCCATTTACAGTTGAGCAAACTGAGGCAGAAAGAGGTTATGTGCCTTGTCCAGGGTCACACACTTTGTGTCTGAGGCAAGATTTGAACTTAGATCTTCCTGATTCCAGGACTAGCATTCTATCCACCTTGCTTCTATCCACAGACAACAAAAACTAGAGGTTCTGGGGAGGGAGAGCTTACAGTGGACTAGAGGGCTCAGGGAGTGCTCCATGGAGGAAGAACTTGAAATAGTCTTTAAGGATGGATAGGATTGGGATAAGCAGAGAGAAAAGAAGGGTAAGCATTCTAAGTGGGAAGAAAAAGAGTGGAGGCTAGAAGGTGAATGACATGTTCAGTGGATGGATCAGTTTGTCTGGAGAAAGGAAGGGCTCCTTATGAAAAGTATTGGGAAATGAGTTTCTCTAGATGGGTTGAGGCAAGACTGGAGAAGGCACTGAATTCAAGGCTATTTGGATTTTACTCCACGGGCCACCAATAGTCAGCCTTTGAAGCAGTGATTGAAAAGAAACATTGTAGAGAGAATAGTCAAACTGCATTGTGCCACATGGTTTAGAAAGGGGAAAGACCAGATCTGCAATTAGGTTCAAAGATTCAGTGACCTAAGTGCAGGATGATGAGCCCTGGCTTGATAGTGGCTCCATTGGAAAAGGATCTGGAGGTTTTAGCTGACACAAGTTCAATGTGAATCAGCAATGTGTCCTGGGATATTACAGTTCCCTATGATAAAGAGACCACACCTGGAGTATTTGGTTACATTTGAGGGACTGTAGCTTTAGAGGGTCAGTAGAAGGTAAACTCTCTGAGGGCAGAGGGCACTTGAGAAATGCATGTGTGATCCAGTTGAATTGTATTGATAAGGTGGAACCCTTCCCAAGGAGGACGACCAGGATGTTGATGGAATCTGGAAACCCTATTTGAAACTGGCTTGTAGGGGGGAGGGGGAAGACTGAGAGAGAGGCAGCATCTGCCCTCCTGGAACTTACATTCTCACAGGAGAAAACCACACAGAAAGGGGAGCTGGAAGGGGAGAGGAGATTTTGTTCTGTGTTTCAGAAGTGGGACCCAATGGGTCCAGGGAAGATTTCAGCACAATGCAAGGAAGAACTTTGTAACAGAGTTGTCCAGTCATGGATTGAGCTACCCTTTGAAATAGCTTAGTCACTGAAGATACTCAAGCAAAGGACTGTCTTTCATGGATGTCGAAGGGATTTGTGGACTGGGTGGGAGGCTGACCTGTTGAGCTCAAAGCCCTTTTCTCAATCTAAGAGTCTACGATTCTGGGATTCCATGTGTGTGCAGCGAATGCCCACAGCTCTATGGCCGAGGGCTTGGCAGCTGGTGGCCATTAGGGTGGTCTTGTTTGCTCACTGTATCCTGTCACATGCATACTGAATCTTGTACCTTCCTTCTCCTCCCTGTCTCCTTGGACAGTCTGTGCAGGGGACAGGCCTGGCTTTCATTGCCTTCACCGAGGCCATGACCCACTTCCCAGCCTCTCCCTTCTGGTCTGTCATGTTCTTCCTTATGCTGATCAACCTGGGCCTGGGTAGCATGATTGGGACCATGACTGGGATCACCACACCCATCATCGATACCTTCAAGGTGCCAAAGGAAATACTCACAGGTAAATCCTTCCCTCCTCATTTTTCAGCCCTGTGTTCCTCCTCCTCAGGACACCCCTCCATCCCCCATTCTCTGTCCCTCTGCAGTAGGACAAGGGATGAAAAGCTTCACTGTCAACAGTGCCCAATTTCCTGATTTCAAGAATAGCTGCTGCTTTACTCAGTTCATTTGTAGACAGATCACTTAATCCCCAAGTACCCAGAAACCTCACAGCTGGTGTGAGCTGGTGCCCTCAGGGAAACTTCTAGTCAGTCAGTCAATCAATACACATTTATTAAACTCTTGCTCTGTGCCAGGCACTATGCTAAGTACTGAAGATACAAAGAAAGTGGGGCGGGGGGAGTAGTCTCTGGTTTCAAGGAGCTCAGAGTCTAATGGAGAAGACAACATGCAAACAACTATTTACAAACAAGATAAATTAGAAATAATAACAGAGCAAAGGCTCTGTTAAGAGGGATTAAGAAAGGATTCTTGTAGAAGGTGGAATTTTAGCAGGGACTTAAAAGAAGTCAAGGAGAGCAGGAGTTGGAGATGAGAAGGGAGAACATTCTAGGCATGGGAAACTGCCAGTGAAAATGCCAGGAGATGTAGTGTCCTTCAGAAGGAATAGCAAAGAGACCAGAGTCACTGAATCCCAGAGGGGTAGAGTGTAAGGTATAAGAAGGCTAGAAAGGAGGAAAGTTATGAAGGGACTTGAACACCAAATAGAGGGGTGTATACTTGAACATGGAGGTGATAGGGAGCCACTGAAGGTTTTTGAGTAGAGGAGTGACTCGGTCAGTTAAGAATATCACTGACAGTTTTAGTGGAGGTTGGACTGGAGTAGAAGAGGCAAGAAAACCAACCAACAGGCTCTTGCACTAGTCCAGGCATGGGGTAATGATGAGGGCCTTTACCAGGGTGGTGGCAGTGTCAGAAGAGAGAAAGGAGTGCATATGAGAAATATTCTGAAGACATGACTGGTCAACGGATTGGATATGGGAGGTGACAAAGTGAAGAGTTGAAGGTGACACCTATGTTGTGAACCTGGGTGACTGGTTGCTAGCTGGGCTCTATCTTGATTTCCCCACCAAAACCTTGGTGTTTTGGTTGGCAAAGCTGGGGTGAGCTTGGTAATAGTGTCCTTGGCAATCTGTGCCAGCACCTTTCTTGGCAAGTAGGAAAAAGGCTGCTGCTGAGGTCAAGGCTATGATAGGTGAGGTGTAGGGCTCCATTGCCACTTTTCAAAGCCTTGTTTCTATGGGCAATGAACATGTTTCCCCTCCCTTTCTGATCCATCCTGTAGACTGTAGGTGTAGATGGGATACAGCTGGCAGAGCCAGCTGGCCCTTCCCTAGACAAAGCTGGTGAATGAGTACCTGAGCTGAGAATCAGGCCTCCTGGGTTCTCTTTCATTTCCGTGAAGAACTTCCGTGTTACCCTGGGAATGTCCTTCACCAACCCTTCAATCCCTCCCCCCAAGTTGGTATTCAGGACTTTTCCAGGCCAATGTTGGTACCCATACTCTTGCTTGATACCTGGCAAGGGTGGCCACAGACCTGACATTACCCATGGGGCTTCTTTCTCCTTTCCCAGACCTCAGTTTCACTGCATTCCTTGGGAGCAATATAGAGGGCATAAAGGCTTAGAACTGAGGGGTTCTGATGCCTGGTCCCAGGCTCTAGCCCAGGCTGTTTCCCTACAAGACCACAAGTAGTGAGACAACAAATGAGTGCTATCAACTGGCATAGGGGGTACTTGTGGATGGGATGCAACTTTGAACCATGGTGGTTCTGACTCTTAGCTGGGAGTGAGAGGTGATGGGGAGAGGTGGCCAGGCTACCTCCTTCTCTGTGGGAGCCTCCACGATCTTAAGGGCTCTGAAATCTCTGTTCTTTTTGCAGTCGGGTGCTGCATCTTTGCATTTCTTGTGGGACTCCTGTTTGTCCAGCGCTCTGGGAACTACTTTGTCACCATGTTTGATGACTACTCAGCTACTCTGCCCCTCACTGTCATTGTCATCCTAGAGAACATCGCTGTATCCTGGATTTATGGAACCAAGAAGTAAGGTTCTGATTTGGGCAGGGAGGGATGTTGGGGGTAGGCGGGGAATGCCTTCCAAGTGTGGGAAGCCTGAGAAAGGGAAGATTTCTCCTTAGAGGTTCCTGCTCCCTGCCCTGGAAATTACTGGAGAGGTATGGAGGCGTCTTTCATTCTCAGAACCGATTGCTGGTGGGCTGGTAACTCACTGACCCCTTCTTCCTGGTGCCACTCAGCTCCCTGCTTCATTTTTAGCAATAGAAGTCAGGTTATGGAATTCAGTGCATTTTTCAAGTACCTATGGTACTTAGAGAAGGATATAAGCTAGAGTGGATGTTTGCACTCTCCTTCAGGGTAGGATGCCTAGCCAATGAGAGGAGGCCTAGCTAAAACAACCAGAGAGTAGTTCAAAGAGCAGACTTGGTGACCTGGAAAGGGCACTGGTTCTAGGTTCAGTTCAACTTCTGCCTCTGATGTTTAGTATCTCGGACCCTTACCTACTGGGCAAGTCATTTCACCAACTCTGCTTCCATCTCCTCATCTGTAAAATAAGGGGCTTAGACTAGATGGCTTCCGAGGCCCCTTCTAGTTCTAGCTCCATGATGTATAAGCAATACTAGGAGCCCATCACAGCCCTGAATGTAGAGGAAATTAGGATAGAGCCAAGGAAGGGCTGTGCCTCCGATCCTGCATCTGGGACAGGAAGATGGCTCTGACTTAAAAGCCACAGACTTGAATACTGCCTCTCACACTAACTAGCTGTATGGCACTGGGCAAGTCATTTAACCTCTCTCAGCCTCCATTTCTTCATCTGTAAAACAGGGTTAATATAAGCACCTACTTCAAATAGTTATTGTAAGAATCAAATGAGAGAATTTATATAAAGCATTTTGCAAACCTTAGAGCCCTTTATAAATGCTCATCAGAACTTTCTCTTCTCTGTGGCTAACTCTGTTCTTCCAATCTTCGAATCGACCTCCTAATTCCCTAATTGTTATTGTGATTTGCTGCTCTGGAGAAAAGCACCTTTTCCTTGCTCTCTATTGTCTCCTCCCTATTCTAATCACTTTCTAATTTAATCCTAATGCTCCCTAGTTCCTCTCAGTCTCCCTCCATTCTGTTTTTCAGTTGTTTCAGTCATATCTGACTCTTCTTGATGCCATTTGAGGTTTTCTTGGCAGAGAGAATGGAGTGGTTTGCCATTTCCATCTCCAGCTCATTTTACAGATGAGGAAACTGAGGCAAACAGGTTGAAGTGACTTGCCCAGGGTCACCTAGCTACTAAGTATCTGAAGCAAGATTTGAACTCAGGAAGATAGTCTTCCTGACTCCAGGCCCAATGCTCTGTCCACTGTACCCCATTCCCATTCTAATCCCCATCTAATTTAACTCTAATGCTCCCTAGTTCCTCTCCCTCTCTTTTCTACTGAATACTTTAGAGTTTAGGGCCTTAGGCTATTGAAAACCAGTCCTTTCCTCTTGTTTTCCGTTCCACCCACACACTCTTCCTCTTCAAACTAATGAAAACCTCACTTTCTCTCAGGGATGCTACATTCCTGGAAAGCCTCTCCTTTGGTGGCCAGCCCTCCTTCAAATCCTTCTGCCCTCCTCACAAGGCCAAAAGAAAGAAGATCCAGCTGTTCTTTGCTTCCCACCTCCCCTTTTTAAACTATTATCCTAATGAAATTGCCCAGTATTTTTTTCTGCTCAGAAGTTATATCATTTCTGCCATGAGGTTATACTACTCTCTCCACATCCCACTTATAATCTTCTACCAACTCCCCTCAGCAATGAGGGGCCAAAAGCAGAATAGAATGGAATCCTTCCTCCATGGCTGAATGACCCCTGAATAGTCTAGATTGAAATCTCATCAATGTGGGACCACCTTCCGGTGGTGCCTGCTCCCTGCCATTTACACTTCCTCATGCTTCATTCATATTCCTCCATAAATCTTCCATTGCATGACCATCTGACACATTAGAGGCCTTCCTCTTGATATTGTGGCATTCCTACAGTAGGCATGGGCAGCTAGGTGGAGCAGTGGATAGAGCACTGGGCCTGGAACAGGAAGACTCATCTTCCTGAGTTCAACTCTGACTTCAGATACTTAGCTGTATGACCCTGGGCAAGTCATTGCCTCAGTTTCCTCATCTGTAAAGTGAGCTGGAGAAGGAAATGGCAAACCGCTCCAGTATCTTTGCCAAGAAAACCCCCAAATGGGGTCACAAACAGTCAGACGTGACTGAAAAACAATTGAATAAACTGAAAGGGTAGGTATTGCTATATAGGCAGGCCAAGAACAGTAGAGCACTTGGTTTGTCTAGCTGTTACCCTGAGCCCTCCCTAACATGAGTAGCTCATCTCCTTTTCTGATCATAAATCCCATAAGATCATAAATTTAGAGCTGGAAGGGGCCTTAGAATCTGTCTAGTTCAACTCACCCATTTTACAGATAAGGAAACTGAGGCCCAGGGAGGCAAAGTAATTTGCCCAAGGTTACACTGATACTAAGTGGTAGAGCCAGGATTTGAACCCAGGTTGCCAGACTTTAAGTCTCATTCCATTACATCTTGCTTTCTTGCTCTTGGGTGATGGTGTCTACACCCCTCCTTGTGCACATGTCTTCATTGGTAATTTTGCAGCTCATTTACATCCACCATATGTCTCTCTATTGGTCTTTGGGTCACCCATGATTTTGATTCTTCAGAGATTGCAATGTTCAATGATTTACAGCTCTATGGTATCATTAAAAGAACAGGATAAGGATAGAAAGTGGATTCTAAGGGTAGAATGGATTTCATTGGTATAGGTAATGAAGAAGCACCCTCTGCTGATGAAGACTAGCACTTTCTCTTCAACTTCTAGTCTTACAGAGTAGCCTGGGGCTCTGAGAAGTTAAGTATCTTGCCCAGAGTAACACAGTCAAGAGTAAAGACTTGAATCCAGGTCTTCAGTACTCCAAAGTCAGTTCTCTATCCACTCCACCATGCTAATGCTGGAAGAATATTCATGTTTTAAAAGATGGGTTATTATTTCAGGAAGCAGCTGGGGATCAAAATAAGTGATGTGCTATTTCCCAAATGCTATAGCCTGCTTTCTTCCTCCCACTCAATTCCTGGCCCAGTTCTGTGTAGTCTCTGTCCAAGATGCTGATAGAATCAGCTCAATGAAATCCCTACCATAGTCCAATCAGATGCTAATCAAAAAATTACTGAGGTGTTGGCTATGGAAATATAGATCAAGGAATGAACATAAGAGCAATTGTGGAGGTTATAACTGATTAGACATGAGAGGTGAAAGAAGAAGAAGAAAGCATAAAAGATATTTACATTTTGAACATGAGCTATTGAGTGACAATAGCGTCACTGGCAGAAATAATGAAGTTATGTAGAGGAGTAGATTTAGGAGGAAAAATGGTAAGTTTGGTTTTGGACACATTGAATTTGATATGCTTAAGACATCCAGGTAGATGTGTCTTATAAGCAATTAGATATCTGAGTCTGGAGCTTGGAAGAGAAGTCAAGGCTGGGGATTTATAGATTTCTGCATTGTGGTATGCAATGGAGGGGAGAGGAAGAGGAACAGTAATTCACTTAGAGTAAGAAGAATCAGGTTTCTATATTGACCCTAGCACTTGGGGACTTTGTAACTATGGGTAAGTCATGTAAATTCTGAATTTCAGTTGCCTCATCCCAAAATGGAAGAATATTTATACAACCTACCTTGCAGGGTTGTTGCGAGAGAAGCAATTTGTCATCCTCAAAGTGCTATAGAAAAGTTCTTGTTATTACGTGAGGGTGATAGTTGAAGCCATGGAAATCCATGAGATTGGCAAGTACAGAGAACCTTGTCCACTCTCCTCAAATCCCCTGTTAGGAAGTCCTTCTTATGCAGAATCTAAAGTGTCCTCCTGTCAATTTCCATCTACTGAGGCCAAGCAGAACAGAGTGTAATCCTGCCCTCATATAATAGCCCCATAGATGAAAGAGGACTGGGCTTGGAGTCAAGAGAAACCTGGGTTCGAATCCTGCCTCTGACATTTACTAGTTGTGTGACAATGGGTCAGTTATTTAATTTCTCTGATCCAGTTTCCTCATGTATAAAATGAAGATAATAATAGTATCTACCTCACAAGCTTGGAAGAATCAAATGCATGTACCCTTCACAAATCTTTCGGTCTATTTAAATCTCAGCTGTTGTTATTATCATTACTGGAAGCTATCACATCCTCCCACTCCCCACATCTTTTCTCCTCCAATCCTCATACAACACATTCTAGTACTCCATTATACTTGTAGCCTGCTCTGGACCCCACTCTAGCTTGTCAATGTCTTTCCATATTTTAGAGTGCCTTCCTAAAATACGGTGCTCCAAACTAAACATTTAAAGACAGGCCTCAGTTTATTCATCTATAAAAATGGAAGAATACTACTTGAAGTAGTCAAATATTTATTGAGCACCTACTGTGTGCCAGTCACTATGCTGGGGTCTGCCATTTAGGGTTGTTCTAAATGAGGAAAGCACTTTGTGAAACTTAGGTTGTTCTGTAAGTATGAGATGAAGTCAGTGCACAGTAGGTGCGGTCTCACTAGTTTAGGGTTCTATGGGACAGTCTCCTCCCTTGTTCTGGACCCTAAATAATCTTTCACATTTTTTTTTTTGTGAGGCAATTAGGGTAACTTGACTTGCCCATGGTCACACAGCTACTAAGTGTCAAGTATCTGGTCTGAGACCGGATTTGAACTCAGGTCCTCCTGACTCCAGGGCCAGTGATCTATCCACGGTGCCACCTAGCTGCCCCAATAATCTTTCATGTTTAAGGTTTATAAAACGCTTAACCTGCCCTGCCTGTGCGGTTCCATTCTATTCCAGGCACACTCTCTTGTCAAGTCCTGTTATTTCCTGTTATATCTTTCAAATAAGCCCCTTCTGTCCTCTGACACTGCCATTACCTTGATGAAAACCTCATCACCTCACCCCAGGACTATTGCAATAGCCTGATGCTGGTCTACATGCCTTAAGTC